GTAGTGTGGATATAGTAGTGGGGATATAGTAGTGGGGATACCATTAGTGGGGATATAGTAGTGGGGATATAGTAGTGTGGATATAGTAGTGGGGATATAGTAGTGGGGATATAGTAGTGTGGATATAGTAGTGGGGATATAGTAGTGTGGATATAGTAGTGTGGATATAGTAGTGGGGATATAGTAGTGGGGATATAGTAGTGTGGATATAGTAGTGGGGATATAGTAGTGTGGATATAGTAGTGGGGATATAGTAGTGGGGATATAGTAGTGGGGATATAGTAGTGGGGATATAGTAGTGGGGATATAGTAGTGGGGATATAGTAGTGGGGATATAGTAGTGGGGCACCGTTGCGAGCAGCCCTGACTGCACCGGGTTGTGGCACTGCTTATTGGAAGGCCTCCGGCGCCGCACGGCCAGGAGGGTTTGGGCCCAGCTCAGCCGCCCCTGGTTCTCTGCGATGGCCCTGAGGAGATCCTCGCTCATCTGCTGCTGGCTGGTGAACTCGACCAGAAACTGGTGAATGGTGAACTGGAGGGGAAATGATCACTGCCCCGTCTGTGCGTCCTCACTGAATGCCCACGACCTTCTCCTCCACCTTGGCCAGCTCGTCCCCCGTCTGGCTCCTGGCGGACAAGGACGTTCCGCTCCACTGGAGCCTCCAGGGCTTTCGCCAGTCTGCTGGACATCTTGAAGAGGTCGTCCACCTCCCCGGTGATCTGCTCCAACTTCCACTCCGAATCCTTCCTCAGAAACTGGATGTCTCTGAGGAGCTGATCTGAGGAGCACAAGGATCAAGGATTCCCACTACGGCCCCTCTCCGTGCATCCAGCTGTAGCTGAAACACACGGGTCCATGGCTTGTGTCCCCCTTGTGTCCCCCTCACTCACCCAGCCGCTCGGTGACATCGCTTTGCATGCGCCGCCATGCTGTGTCCATTTCCGTGACGGCCGTCCTGCATTCTGCTCTGATGAGCTGGGACTCGTTCCGCGTGACCTCCACGTCCACGGGAGTGCTGGGGGCCGCTGGCCGGGACGGACATCGTTCAGGCTCAACTGGACAACCAATGGATCGTTGAGACACTTTAGATTGAAAAAGACACATTTAGGTACACGCTGTGCAAATGTGTTTAACAGAAAAAAGGTCTTGGACGTTGAGAACATTGATTAGGGAAATATAACTTCTAACTATCTAACTAATCTAGATAGCTGTTAGTTAGATTAGTTGGTTTAATGCTATAGTGGGCCGAGAACCTCATTATAAATAATTTAATTAAATGTCAACAACAAATATGATCAGATTCATAAGATTCTATTTAGAATTTCTATTTGATTGTTATGATTGTATTATTCAGGCAATCAGAATATTTACATTACTGTTTTGATTCAATCCAAATATAAAGCTACTTATAGAAAGCATTTCTATAATAGGATTATATTATTGTTATTATTACTATCAATACTCAGAACAGGCATTGTACGTAGTGAGGTGGCTTAACATACAAAGAATATCAATATATACACTTAAATTATTTCGACATTGCAGTTGGCACTTATGTAGCAATGATTGTTATTAACTGATCGCTAAGATCGTTTTTAGTTTCGTTCAAAAAATATTTGAATATCAAAAAATGTGATCATATTCCTGTTAATTATCACGTTAAAAAGAAAGTCACAGAATATGTCTCTAAAATAGACACAGGTTGTTTTTTAACTAGCAATTAACATAAATCTCACGTTTGAATTTATTATCTCAGTATGAAAAGCCACAACAGAAGTTCCTCAGTTGCGTTTTAAAACCACAAACCCTCAAATCAGCTAAAAAACAATTATAATAAAACAAACAAACAGGTAGTTAGTAGTTGATGGATGTCTTGTAGCTCCAGTCTAAGAAATGGCTTCGTATTTCGTACTTATTTTATTTGTTTATTACTCGCCCTGTTTCATGTGTCAGTCTGATCTCAGGAAGTCAATAAAGTTTTACTCAATCCACAAGAAAAGGCGTCGCCATGACAACGCCTCCTGTGTACCTTCGGGTTTAGCCTCCAGCCGAGGAGTCGTGTTAGCTCACAAACTACGGTTTATTTTCGAAAGAGACACACGGGAGCGAGTGGGACGTCTGACAATGGTGAGTAAATCATTTTTATTTTAAAAAGAGTTATATTATATCGTGGCCGCAGCCAGATGTTAGCTTCTTAAACTGGCTAAGCTAAGCTAGGTCAGCTAGCATCGACTGGAAGTGACTTTTATTGTGAAGAAACATGTCGATCTGTTTCACCTCCAGCCGCCGAAGACCAAAAACAAAAAGGCCGTGAAGACCGTGGTGGACGGCCTGTCCCCGGAGGAGATGTCCAAGGACCAGGTCAGAGCTGTTATCCGATGCTAACACAGCTAACTTTAGCCTCGAAGCCATGAAACTCGGTTCACTGACTTTAAGAAAGACATTTATTTCACTTTAACCGTTTCTTTAAAACAACAATGCTAATCTGTTGTGTTCATTTCACTATAAAAATACTCACTTCAAGTATCAGTATTATAATATAATATCAAGTATTCTGAGCCTTCAGTAAAGTACTAATACCACACTGAAAGTACTGTGACAGTGAAAGTCCTGCATTCAAAACTAAAGTTAAAGCGTGTTGTGTCACCAAAGTTCTCATTGTGCAGTAAAATGATCCCGGTCCTTAATCTTACGTGTGATACCAAATGTACAGCTCACAAGGGGCAGGTAGGGGAGAACTATGTTGTATCGTTATCGGATGCACAGCGCACGATCCAACACGATCCAACAGCATAATCTCCACTCAGGGTCCATGAGGTAAACAGCTGATGAACACAGAATATCCAATTTAGCTTCCTCACCCCAAAAGATTCACATCAACTCGCTTTACAAAATGTTACAGAAAAACAGTAACAAAGGTGGTGCTGGATTATCTATTATGCCATCAAACATGTATAAAGTAGATATTTGATATAAGTTACTGCAGGCCGAGTATGCACTCTGCAGCCATGTTACGACGGAGAAAATAAAGAATTATATACTAGAAATTAAAATAAGATCACACTCTGTTAGGGAGAACGTCAGCAATAGAATATGTGGACAATAATAATACAAGTAGAGCTGTACAGGAGCACCGGTTGGCCCCAGAGAACCCACACTGATGTCCTCTCGGCCTTCCAGCTGGAGGAGCACATCGTCCGCCTGCGGGAGGAGCTGGACAGGGAGCGGGAGGAGAGGAGCTTCTTCCAGCTGGAGAGGGACAAGATTCAGGCCTCCTGGGAAATCTCCAAGAGGAGGCTGGAGGAGGAGAAGGGCGAGCTGAGGAACCGACAAAGGGAGAGAGAGGAGGCAGAGGCGCGCCACCAAGTGGAGATTACTGTGAGCTGCACGCACACGCACGTCCAAAAAGCCTATTAACTTACAAGCTTTAGAAAAACAGACAGTAACCAAAAGCAAAGAAAAATAAATAAAATATCCAAATGTAAATTATACTTGTTTTATCCATGGAGGTTTAATTGAACCTAAAAAATACCTTGGATTATTCCTTACTTTTCTAACTTTACTCTTACACGACACGTTTTGGCGGCCGGTATCCAGGAGTACAAGCAGAAGCTGAAGCACGTCCTGTCCGAGCACCACGACGAGCTCTTTGGGCTGAAGGCGGACGGCGTGGCCTCGGCCGGGCTGGTCGAGAAGCAGCACACGCAGTCAGAGATCGGCCTCCGTAGGGACCTGCACGCCCTGCAGGCCGACTACAGGGAGAAGAAGCTCCACAACGACAACTCCATCAAGGAGCTGCAGCTGGTGAGGCGCGCTTCTTTTTCAAAAATGTTCTCTAGTTTGAGACCTACAATTTAGTCTCTTCACCAGAGAACAGTTGTCTTGATTCCCAACAGAAGCACCAAGTGGAGTTAATGGAGCTGGAAAAGAACTATGAGAAAAGATTCACAGGTGAATAGATCCAGTTCACAAACTCCTATCTTAACCTGTAATTAACATTTTCCCTTCTACTGTTTCTCAAATAAGAGCTGCAGGTGACGCATCACAAGAAAAGGCAGCTGATGGTCGACACGGAGACCAAGAAGCGGCAGGACGCGGTCTCCCAAATCACCTGCAGGATGCAGAAGCGCGTTGATAGTCTGACTGAGGAGCACGACGCGGTTCTCAAGCACAAAGCGGATTACTACTCCACGCTGCAGAAAAAACTGCAGCAGGATCAGGACAAGCTGAAGGTACAGACACGGGAAGCTGATCAGACCGAAATACAAACTAACTCGTCAGGGCCTAAAGGCCATAAACGGGACACAGTCGATGTAGTTTTACTTTGTTTAGTAGATTTCTTTCGGGCTCTAGATTGGTTGAACTATGCAATGGTTATAGTTCACAGAACATTGTATAAATATAAATATAAAATAGATGTTTTTTAGCCCGCACAGTAAAGGTTCCCTGTGCAAAAAAGTTTAATTTATTTCACATTGTTTCAATTTATATTTCACTCACAATAACATGTGAATTTGTTAAAAAGTTTATAAAATGTGTTTTGACAAAGACTTAAATATTTATTTTATTTGGTTCACAAAGACGTTTTGAATTTTGCTTTCGAAATAGATTTGCAATAATCTATTTGACTTGTATCACATTCATTTGATCATTTTTATAGTCGACGCATAAACTGACTTCTACAACTTTGAGTTAATTTTAGGGGACGCTTGTTTTAAGCGCCACGCGGCCCCTGTGCTTTCCCTCAGGGTGAACAGGCCCAGGCGAGGAAGCTTCAGCTGAAAAAGGACCGGGAGCTTTCAGCAGCTCAGCAGAAGAACCAAGTTCTGAAGACGTCTCTGCAGGAAGCCCAGCAGAAGCTTCCGGAGTTACAAAAACTGCTGCAAGAACACAAAGAGGCCAAGAGCAAGATGGTGGTGGGCTCCCAGACTCCAGCTTTACTATAAAACAGTTACAAATCTACTGAAAGGCGACGCGCTTTGGTCTCAAGCTGATCAAATAATGTGGTATTAAATTAAAAAGATGTTTAAGTACATTTGTCCTGCTTTCACATTAGTTTCAACATCTCTGTAATTAACTGAGATTTAACGCACACGAGCATTAACTTCACGTCATAGAATGTTTCGTCGTTTTAAAATGTTTAGTTATGAAACTATACACTTTTTTTTTTTTAAGAAGACTGATGACATTCGGTGTACCAAGAATGATCTGATAACAGTTTACCACAAAATAAAGAGCCCAGCAGCCCTAAAACATCTCGTTTCAGGCGTCTAAAGCTCGAGTGAAGGTCCTGGACCAGGAGCTGCGCGACCTCTCCCTGCAGCACCAGCTGCTGCAGTGCGGCTTCGAGAAGGTAAACCACTGCACCTTTCACCTTTGACCTCCGACCTCCGCTCACCCCGTCGCCTTCCCTCAGGTGGAGCGGGAGCGCGACGAGGTGCTGGAGAAGCAGACGGAGGCCATCCAGGAGGTGCGGCAGAGGAGCAGCCTGAAGCACCTGCTGCTGGAGAAGAAGCTGGCGGCGCTGACCGCCGCCGCCGAGAAGCAGGAAGCGCAGCTGTTCGCCGCGCTGGCCGCCTCCGACGTGGAGCCCAGCGCGGGGGCCCGGGCCGCGGACAAACTCCAGGTGGGGCGGATCGTGTTGGTTTAATCCACCTAAATGATGTCACGTCTCACGGCTACAACAGCTGAGCACGCTGCAGGGACGCCGGCGGCTTCTACACTCAGCTGCTTTTTATTCCTCGTGTTGTTCCTTCATCGACCTTCTGATGTTTCGCTGCTCGCAGGAAATGCTGAAGTCCAAACAAGCCACCATCGACGCCTTACAGGGCGACCTGGCTCGAGACTGTCAGGTCAGTCCATCCAAAAGGGGTTTCAACGCATTCATGTAAGTGTTACACTTGGTCGCAGTCAGCTGAGTGACAGTTGTGCGTCTGTGTGCGTCTGTGTGCGTGGGACCTGCAGGAGTACGACGAGCTGCTGCAGACCTGCAAGGAGAAGCTGCATGACTTGGGCGTCCCTCTGTACGACTTTCCCTTCAGGCCTTCGGAGCGGACCCTGGGGGGACGCGACTCCCTGGGACCGCCCTCCAAAGAGCGAACCCGTCCGGGTGGAGCTGGCGTCCACTCGCCTCCAGGCTGCACCTGACCTCTCCATCACTTGATCACATGACGTAATGAATGATAAACCTTTAGGTGTTATGTTGTTAAGCAACAAACTGTTTCGGTCATAACACCTTTTGACATTTCTAACTTTTAATATCAAGAGTTTCATCTTGTTTGATACTTATATAGTGTTTTAACTTCTTTGGTGTCACTTTAACTTTTAATGCGTTTTTTCACACCACAAAACTTCCTTTCTTTTTTCTCATTTCCCAACTTGGGGCAGTAACTTCCTAAAGTCTTGACGAGGTTGCCTGGCAACCAGCAGAGGACATAACTCCACTTAAAATAAAGAAATGTGTTTGTGGGTTGATGCGCTGTGGTACATTCCCTTTACTCCCATCAATGTCAAGATTTTACATTACATCCAAGCATTTCAAATACATTCACACTTTATATACAGACGGTACACAAACAAACTGAATTCTGGCGACTTATAAACACCACGTCCGTCATGCTCAGAGACGTTTAGCGATCAGATCTCTTTTTGTTTCGTTAATAAAATCAGCTGAGCCTCCAACAGGAGTAAACATTCCCTCTGAATGAATTATTTGCATCTGCATATTTGTATTTAATCGTAGATTAGAGAACGTCAGAGAGTAAAACTATAGACCAAACCCTCTGGTTCTAATCCTTTATCGTTACATTGTAATAACTGAGCTTCCAAATATTGCATCAGAATTATAAACAGGGTTTTCTAACACACTGAGTAGTGATGATCATATAATAATTCATACAGTAGATGAAAAGTGGACACGTCGTCATAAACATGTCAGTAAAATGCAGCGGAGCTGGTGGACACGGTTCAGTATCGGAGTCTGAATATCGTCTCTGATTGAAGTCAACTCAGAGGACAGAAGGACGACTTCTGTGGTTAACGTCCTTGGTTGGGGGCTCATAACCCGACAGTACATGCAGGAATAACCGGGGTACTGATGGAGTTCTCTTGGTCTGGTAACCACGTGCGTGAAGCTGGTAACCGGGTAACTGGGTAAGGTGTCCCGTACCACCTACAGCATGGATCAATTATCAGAAGAATGCCCTGGCCGCTGAGCTCATGCTGGATATGATTCTGGTGCTGTAGCCAAACTTAGTACAAAGGATATTGCCTGTCTGATTATCTTAAAATCATGTATATTATACGTGTACTACTGATTTGTAATATCCTTCTTATGGGGTTTTTTCTGTGCTGTATTTGTGATTACAGGGTAACGTTAGTCAGGAAGACATCGTTGAGTCAGCAAGGCGATTATTAGACTTAGTAACCTCTTCTGAGAGACACCGGGGAGCCGATGACACCAATCAAGATATGAGGTTTTGTATTAAACTGCAATTCATGTACATATGGCTTACTTTTACTTATACATTCTATACATGTTGATGATTAGGCTTAATGTATATTTTCGGATCCAATCCGGCAGAGAACAGAGGCGGGGGCGTGAAGATGGGAGTTCAGCCCTTCAGCCACAAAGACCCTCAGTTCAAATGGAAATGACCAGGTAAAGACACATTTGTTTATGTATACATACTTTGTAATGATGTCAATTTGTACAGTGAAAACTCCACCTGCTACCTACAGTAAGTAATGATAGACATAGCATTGTGTAGCATCATCAGCTTCTTACTAATATTGCAGCCATCGAAATGTAAGTGTTCATTTTTGTGACCATTCAGTAAAACATATAAAGACCTGTTTCACTTAGGGCTAATGTGAAATGTATATAAGAAATGATCATGGGTTTCAATATCAAGTTCTAAATCATTGCCTGTAACACTTTACTGGAACCTGATGAGAGTATGCAGTAGAATGGTGAGTTTTTCTATATTCATCTATCATGCAAGAGCCTTTTTGTCAACCTTTTAATGTAGTAAGAAAAAACTTGTTTTCTACAGGTCCTTCCCAGGTATGTTTACCAAGGCCGGAGGAAAGAGGCGCTTTCCTGCAGCAAATCTGGTTCCTGCCAAGAGAGCAAAACCGCTTGAAGTGTCTTTCTATTTGCTGCCAAAGCCGTATGAAAGAACTCCAACGTATTCTCCTGATGTTGAGCGTGTATCTACAGGATCGCGTTGTCGCGGCAATGTTGGGAGTCAGGGAGAGTTGGCTGTCGAGTGTGACGCCGAGGTTCTTAGCGGTCAAAGTGGGCGTTAGCACGGAGTTTCCAAAGTTGACTGTCAGGTCCTGGGTAAGCGAATCTTTTCCGGGAAAGAGAAGTAGTTCAGTCTTGTCGGGGTTGATTTTCAGATGGTGGGCGGACATCCACTGAGAGATGTCAGTTAGACAGGCAGAGATCCGAGCCGCCACCTGGGTGTCCGAGTGAGGGAAGGAGAGAATTAGTTGGGTGTCATCGGCATAGCTGTGGTAAGAGAAGCCATGCGAGCGAATGACAGCGCCAAGAGAGAGTTGGTGTAAAGCGAAAACAGGAGGGGACCCAACACGGAACCCTGAGGAACTCCAGTAGTAAGAGGACAAGGTTTTGACACAGATCCTTGCCAGGTTACCCGGTAGGTGCGGCCATCGAGGTAGGACGAGAGAAGGGAGAGAGCAGAGCCTGAGACACCAAGTTCCTGAAGGGAGGAAATAAGGATCTGGTGGTTGACCGTGTCAAATGCAGCAGAGAGGTCCAGAAGGATGAGGACAGAGGAGAGAGAGGCGGCTCTAGCAGTGTGGAGTTGCTCAGAGACAGCAAGGAGAGCAGTCTCTGTGGAGTGGCCTTGAAACCTGACTGGTGGGGGTCAAGGAGGTTGTTACAGTGGAGATAAGAGGAGAGTTGATTAAAGATAGCACGTTCAAGGGTTTTGGACAAAAAGGAAAGACGAGAGACCGGTCTGTAGTTGTTTTCTTCAGAAGGGTTGAGGGTAGGTTTCTTCAGGAGGGGGTTGACTCTTGCCTCCTTCAGAGATATATACAGTCATGTTTGCTCAAGTGAAATGGATTACTTACTTATAGTGCTTTAAAGTTATAACCTGTTAATCATAATCTGTAGAATTGAGATAAACCTTTCTTTCACCCGTAAGCACAAACACAGTCAAAATAGAGTTTTCAAAGATCACTCTGAAGGGCGTACACCTAACCTGTTTTCCAACATTTTTGTATAGACAGAAGGCCAAATATCCAACTCCAATCCACTTTATAGCCTTTCAGATGCGATTGGACCGGGGACATTCTGAGTTGGGGACACAGCCCTAATAACAGCACCACAAATTGTATTCCTAGAAAAAACAATTGCATGGATTTAGATGTTGCCATTTGATCTAATCAAGCTATCCCCTTTTCAGAGTGTTATGGTTAAATACACTTGTATCATTTTTTCTTACAGTTATGTGATGCCCTCAAAGTTCTATTTCAAAAACTGGGGAATGTTACTGGTGGATGGCTGCTTTATAAAGCATCAGCTAGGCCAACACAAGTTTGTGTGTTTGTTTGTTTGTGTTGCTCATTCGTATAAAAAGTACATGTGCAGCAGCTAACTGCACATTATGCAATGAAGACTGTTAATTTTATTAATTCATATTAATTACAGATGGTTCCCAAATAAAACTTTAACAAAATTCTCTTAACTCATCTCAAGTACATTTGTTATTAAGACTGTCTATGTTGAATTCAAGGAAAAACATTCATTAGGAGTCTTACTGCAAGACAAAAACAAAACTACAAAGTCGTAAATTGTAATAACTGTATTTGAAAAAGTCAAGTAAAATAGACAGATGGCTTCTTCAGTTTATACTGTAGTCACACAAAAAGCCGAGTTACTTTGACTTAAATTAAATATATATTATATATCCAACACACTGTTGAAAGTTTCCAATCTAATTTCCATCTGTAATGTTTTCCACAGCTGGATGGGGAAGCCAGAAACTCTGTGTTGTGCCTCCTGAAGATAGTGGCTATTCAGGCAGGGTCTTGAAGGCTATAGGTTGTTGCGCTAAAAATCTGTTCATAGCCCCAATTCAAGAAGAACTTAACACAAATCCCCTACTACTCAATGATGAAGCATTCAGGAGCATTCCAAAAGCCATTTGTCAGGAGTGTGGAGCAGCAGTTCCCCTTCCACTCCTGACAGAACACATCAAGTCTTGTGATGTCATAGATGTTGATGATAACCTGACTAATGTGGATAGCAGTGAGCCTGAAGAGAGAAAATGTCAAAATTATTTGTTTAAGATTTTGTTAGCATATTACATAGCGTTCATAAAATGAATTAAGAAACCTTTTCTTTCAAAATATCATTGTTCTTTCTTGTAACTTCCATTTCTCAGCAGCAGATATGCAGGAGTGTCCTGTCTGCGCAGAAATGTTTGCCACTGATTTTATTGAGGTACACGCTTCAGCCTGCGGGGAAAGTTATCCATTTATCTTTTCATGTTTTTTCTCTTTATGGCAATTATCGTACTCTTTGTGCAAGTGTAACACAGAAAGAGTTTTATGTGGCTAGAGCAGGAAATCAAGTGAGGCATGAAAGTACTGTCAGTGAGGAAGAGCAAGCAGCAATACCTGGACCATCTGGAACTTGTGCAGCAGATAGAGATGGTAGGTGATAATGCTTAGGGTCAGGTTAAAAAAGGGAACATCGTTACAGTGCAATAAAAATGAGCATGTAGTATGACCTACTGTGGGTGGGAACTGTTTACAGAAAAAGCAGTCTTAGCAAAATCCTCATAGCACACATTATTTACTCACATATTCATTTATGTTGCTACTATTAGACTGTTTATGCCAAAGTAAGGCCTAATGTCTTTTACTTTTTATTTGAATCTACTTTTTATTATTTTTTTGCTACCTTTACAGTCAAGCATAAATAATGAAACAACCACATTCATTTTAATTTTTTCTTATTAGGGTGGTTAACAGTTATCAGTGACCCTCCAAGGCCATGTCTCAGTGTGTGGACAACTGTCTCCGAGTCCCTCACTTCTCAGCATGGACATAAGAAGTCTGGCTGAACAGGACATGGCCCTTATCTCCTTTTACAAGCAACCTAATGTGGAATGGGGACGACCCCTGAATTGCAAACTTGAAGGTTGCTCCAATATCAATTTTCAGTTGTCAAAAAAAAAATTTCAAGTATTTCCTTTAAATGTATTCTGTCAAACCATACCTTGTGTTACAGGAGATACTGCTGTTGGCCAGGGTGTAACTCGCCTTTTCTTCTCAACATGCATGGAAAAGCTGAGGTCTGGATTTTGCATCAATTTTGGTATGTATGTTAGATGTATGGCATCCTCGCTAATGTTGTTTATTGTTTAATGTTTACTTTAAGTAGCATATTAAAGATTTCCCCCGTTATAGTCAAGATTATTTTAAATAACACCTATACAAGTTTATCATCTTAGTTGGTTTGCTGTATCCTGAAAGTTCAAAGGATTCTACCAAATGTATAATGCCTGTACTGTGCCAAAATAAAACCACACCGTGACACTTGGTGGTAGTCCTGAAACTGCCACAATTACACTGGAGGATTGTCCAGACCTGGACATAACAGAAACAATCAGGCTTGTATGTGTACAGTTGATTCTTGATTCTATAAAAGCTCAAATGCCAGTAATATGTATAATGTGTTATATTCAGTAATTTTTACAAGTGCACATAGTACCTGGCATTACTCAACTGCCTCTTGTCTTAAAGCTTGAAGGTGAATCCAAACCGTCAGAGAGGGATGCAGGAAGTGTCCAGGAATTGGCCTTTGCCTGGGACCTCCCATCCCTTACTGAGAAGAACAGGAGGTGGATTTTTGAAAAGCTTCTAATCCATGCTGTGAGTGAAAGTTTAAGAAATATGTGCTTCCAAAAGTTACAAGTTTACTAACTAGGATATTGGAAAAATCATAAGAATACAGAAATCATCAACACAAGTACAGACAGAAGTCAAATGACTACAATTCAGCTGAAAAGGGACAGACGTTCTCTCTCCCAAGAGGAGCTAGAAGATCTGACCAAGTTTCTGGGGGAGAACAGGAGCTTTTATCCATCTCTGAAGGTTCGAGGAAGAGGGAAGAGGAAGAGTTTCCCAAGATTTCCCCATGAGAGTTCTTGAGACACTTACAATATGCAGATCAACAAATTCTCCCCCGACAGATATAAACATAACAAATTATTTTCTTTAAAATAATCTTTTTCTAATCTTTTACGCTGAGATTGCTTTAAAATGAGTAATGTTATTGGATATACCCTTTGTCATGTTACTATTAACAGGTGATTGGCCGTGTCACAACACAAATAAAACAGTTTCGACGAGGTCTTAAAGAAGCCCCAATGTGGACAGTGCTGACCCAACGACCTGACACAGTGGCCTTGCTTCTCCCAAAAGAGGTGTCACCAGGGGGACATTGTGGTTTCTGTAAATTATTGGTTTGTTACATTTTAGCATGGTTTGGTTTGGCACATTAACACAGCTGCTATAAAGGACACTAAGCACGGCCTGAGAGGGGAAGCAGAAGCCACAGTGAAATCAAGCGAGAGGACGGCAAGACAGCGGACGAGCAGGCGGGGTGCAAACGAGGAGAGGAACGAGACGGACTGGACACCTCACTCAGGAAAGGAACGGAACCGGAAACTAGAAGAAAGGGCAGGACGTGGCTGGTCGAATTCTTAATCTTTTTTAGCACTTTGTTCCAGCTGGACTTTTAATACAATTGTAGTTATTTATGGGTTTTTAGTTTTTAATAATAAAATCCTCCTTTTAAACCACGCTTTTAAGTCTTGTGATCCATGCTGTTCTTCCTCTGATGAAAAATAACCTGTTTTTATGGAGACCTAGACTCCGCAACTAGGTGGCGTTGCTGGTACCTTTTTTATAAATGTATCTTATTTTTTTATTAGATTTTAAGTTCCCCGCCTCACAGGGCTGACAGAGGGAGCTGGGAATATCAGCCCTGAGGTAAATTTTTATTTTTTGGATCGTGTAATGTTTGTATTTTTTCTTACTATGTGATTGTCAATTACTAATGATTACAGTTCATACCTCGTCAGCATCTATTATAGTCCATGTTCAATATTGTTCTTATGTGTTCATACGTAGTATTACGTTTCCCTGAATCGCCGAACTTTCCAAAAGTACTGACTAGTAGTGTATCATCAAAGTGATACAATGATGGTACTCATGGAAAAGTCATAAATTAGTCATTATTTAAATTTCATGGAGAAGTTTTGAAAATTCACTGGGACAAATGTGTGGTAACCCTTAATAGAAAAATGATTCAATGCTCTCCCATGTTATTTTCAATGCAGGTACTTCAGCGAATCACATGGCCCCGTGAGGATGAAGATGATGACGATGATTTTTCAGTTGACACCAGATGCCGCATGACAGGCTATTTCGACAGTTCATTGTGAATGGTAGGTTTACAAAATACATTTGAAAGTGCTATTAAATTATAATTTGTCTACTTGGCTGTTTAAATGTTCAACGTTAACTTCACATTGCGGGTTAGTCTTCTCTTCTATTGAGTGCAAGCTGATTTTTTTTTTTTTGGTCATTTGATTTGTTTCATTGTTTTTTCATCTCCTCCATAGCAACACCAACTGAATTGACCAATCTGGTCAAATTCTGGACCGGGTGGGAGATTCTCCCAACGAGCCCCTCTGTAGAGGTGGTCATGGGCAGATACCCCACAGCCCACAGGGCATTAATTCAATTCGTTTTATTTTGTATAGCCCAAAATTACAAATTTGCCTCAGAGGGCTTTACAGTCTGTACACATACAACATCCTCTGTCCCGAAACCCACCATCTGCACAGGAAAAACTCCCCAAAAAATGAAAAAACCCTTACAAGAGGCAAAAAAGGGAAGAAACCTTAGGGAGAACGCCAGAGGAGGGATCCCACTACAGTAATATGATTAATATCTAAAATAATAATGATGATGATGATGGCAGCAGCAGGCGTCAGCATGGCCACGGCAGGTGTCAGGACCAGGGTCCAGAAGGAACCACGATCTACGGAGACCTGATAGGGGAGAAAGCACAAAAAACTCCTGGAAAGAAGCTGAATTAGTCATGTGCATTAATAAAACTTGAATTATGGTAGAACGAGAGCGTGAGAGAGGAGCTCGGTGTGTCCTAAGAATTCCCCCGGCATTCTAAGCCTATAGCAGCTTAACTAAGGGCTGGTCCGGACTGACCTGAGCCAGCCCTAACTATAGGCACAATCAAAGAGGAAAGTTTTAAGTTTTACTTTAAAAGAGCTGACGAATCTGCCCCCCGGACTGACAGTGGAACCTGGTTCCACAAAAGAGGAACTTGATAACTGAAGGCTCTGGCCCCCAGCCTACTTTTGGTGCTTATGCTCGGTTACTTGTTGTAACCGAGCATAAGCACAAGTAACCATTACAATAATTATCAATCTTTTCTAAGTGATATTCAGGCCTGTATTTGCTCTTGCCAAACAGGAGCCTTGTGTGAGAGACTAGATTTGATCTTGTACTAAATGTTGATCTAACTTTGTTTGTTGGCTGTTAAAAATGTTGACTGTTATGCAACAAATATGGATGTTCACTGTAAACAATCTCTGCACTGAAATAAATAGTTAATCTGTGTTACGTACAGTGCTCTATGGGTATAGGTCTACAGATATGGTGTTCTTTTTTGTGTTTTTGTCTCCCCCTTCTGTTTCCATTCTCTCACTTCACAGATGTGCACACCTGGTTCCCCTCATCCAATCACCACACCTGTTCCACATCTCCCATCAACCATTCCCCTTTATATGGTCAATGTTTGTTTTCAGTGGGGAGGCTCTTTTGTGTTGAGCTGGGCCTGCGGTTTGAAGAGCACGGTCTTGTGTTAAAATTGAATTAGTAACAGCCTACTGGTGTTTTTGTGATATCTTTTGGTTGTGCGCACAGGGTCAATGAGGACAGGTAAGATACTCCGGGGTTTACATATTGCTACACGTAGGTGTACCTGTTGTTAGTACCCTAGGCTAGAGTGAGCACCACCCACTGTAGTTTTGGGTGCTAAGCACCGGTCAATGGGAGGAGGAGGAGGAGAAGGGGGGGGTTGTTCATGTTCTTTTCTTTGGTGCCACTGACAGTCCTTGTTGATCCCTGTGTTGCTCTTTTGAAAAATAAATACTATGTTGTGGAAGTTGCGTTTGTAATGAAAGGCAATTCCGCGAGTTGAGAACAGCAGCGTGTGTCTCGTTTATCATTACCATAACAACACTCAAGATGGCGCAGCCCTGTAACCTCACAAGCAAGGGACTCTACGTCACAACATAACAAAACATTTAAAGGGACCGTGATTCCGGGAACAGTCGCAATTGCGTGTACCACGAAACAAGAACAAAGGTGAATTATGCAGTCACATTCACTACACACGTCCCCCCAGAATTCACCATACAAGAAAAATAATCAGTTGGGAGGTGGCCGTATCAACCGACCAGAACGGCTGTGTTTCAGAGGGGGTCGAGGAGCCCCAACCGTGGCAGGTGTACCACCGCGACACGGGCGCGGGGCGTTGAGTGTGGGAGTCCCGGGAGGGAGGGACACAGGGGGTGGGCGCAAAGCTGGAGGACGCCCGCGTCGCGGGGGCTGGGCCGATTCAATGGGCCTAGCAACGTCCAAATGAGCTGGTTTGAGGCGGTCGATGGAGAGTCGCTCCGGCTTACCACCCATGTCCACCACAAAATGTTTGTGACGGGCAACCCAGGTGCCGATAAATGCCCGGGTCATCTCAACAGCGGTCAACGATGTCAGTGGCACTGCCTCGGGCCAACGGGTGGTCCTGTCAACCATGGTCAACAGGTAGGTGAAACCATGAGAGGAAGGCAGAGGGCCAACCAGATCCACGTTAACATGGTCAAACCGCCTCTCTGGCACTGGGAACAACTCTAACGGAGCTTTAGTGTGGCGGTGTACTTTGGCCCGTTGGCAATCAAGGCAAGTGTTAGCCCAATCCCTTACGTCCTTTTTGAGGCCGTGCCACACAAACTTTGCCGACACCAGTCTCTGTGACGCTTTCGAACCGGGGTGGGAGAGACCATGGATGGCATCGAAGACACGTCGTCTCCACCCCGTGGGAACGATCGGCCGAGGACTGCCTGTGGAGACGTCGCACACAAGCGTGGTTTTGGCTTCATCGAAAACCACATCCTCTAGCCTCAAACCTGTAGTCGAGGTTCTCAGGGTGTGCACGTCCGGGTCCGTGGTCTGGTCCGCTGCCATGCGGCCGTAATCCAGACCGAGATGGACTGCTCCTGCCACAGCCCGTGAAAGGCAGTCCGCCACCTGGTTGTCACGGCCACGTGCTGTAAATCCGTGGTGAACTCGGAAATGTAGGACAGGTGACGTTGCTGGCGGGCGGACCATGGTTCGGCCACCTTGGCCATGGCGAAAACCAGCGGCTTGTGGTCGACAAAGGCGGTGAAGTGTCGACCTTCTAGCAGGAAACAAAAGTGCCTGATGGCGAGGTAGAGACCGAGCAGCTCCCGGTCGAAAGTGCTGTACTTACGCTCGCTAGCGCGCAGCTGGCGGCTAAAGAAAGCAAGCGGCTGCCAGGCCCCGCCTACCCACTGCTCGTAGACGGCACCTACAGCGTAGTCCGAGGCATCCGAGGTGATGGCGACAGAGGCTGTGGCCGAAGGATGTGCCAGCATGGTGGCCCGCGCCAGGGCTGCCTTAGTGTCCACGAAAGCTTTGTCCCTGCCCTCAGTCCAGTCCACGGCGTGCGTGGGCTTACCTTTCAAGGCTTCGTGCAACGGCTGCATGAGCTGAGCGGCTCGAGGGATGAAACGGTGGTAAAAGTTCACCATGCCAAGGAACTCCTGCAGGGCTTTCACGGTGAGCGGGCGCGGGAACTGTGTGACCGCCTCCACCTTTGATGGGAGCGGGACTGCACCGTCCTTGGTGACTCTGTGTCCCAGGAAGTCAATGGTGGAGAGACCAAACTGGCACTTAGCAGGATTAACAATAAGGCCATGTTGGTTGAGCCGCTCGAAAAGTGCTCGGAGGTGCGACAGGTGCTGAGCTTTGGATGTGCTCGCTACAAGAATGTCATCCAAATACACAAAAAGAAAAGGCAGGTCGCGTAAAACAGAGTCCATGAGGCGCTGAAAAGATTGGGCTGAGTTTTTAAGGCCGAACGGCATCCTTAGGAACTCAAAAAGACCGAACGGTGTAATCACCGCTGTTTTTGAAATGTCCAGTGAGTGCATGGGCACCTGATGGTAGCCCCGGACGAGGTCCACCTTAGAAAAAATCACCATACCAGCCAGGTGTGCTGAAAAATCCTGTATGTTCGGGACTGGGTATCGGTCAGGCGTCGTTGCCTCATTAAGCCGCCGGTAGTCGCCGCATGGGCGCCAGCCGCCACCAGGTTTGGGGACGATGTGAAGAGGTGACGCCCACGGGCTGGCGGACCGGCGGACTATTCCAAGGCGTTCCATGTTAGAAAACTCGGCCTTAGCAACGGCAAGCTTGGTCGGGTCGAGGCGCCGAGCACGGGCGTAGACGGGCGGACCAGTGGTGGCGATATGGTGTTCCACACCATGCTTCACGGCAGATGCAGAGAAAGTGGGCTGGGTCAGTTCTGGAAAACCAGCCAGTAGACGGTGGAAGTCGTCTGATGGGGAGAGCATGCTAGACAGTCGTATGGAGTCAGCCCCGCTGAGCGTGCACGTATAAGAACAGAACGTGACAGCGTCGATCAAACGGCGGTTCTTAACATCCACCAACAGTCCATGCGC